ATATATATATATATATTTATATAAAATCCAACTAAATACAACCAACTAGAGTGTTAGAAGGATACTCCTTAGGGTAGTACTTTGATTTTTTTTTCCTATGTGGGTGTGGTTGAAAGAAAATCTTTGTTCCAGGAATACTTTGTCTTTTGCCAAACAAATGTATAATTTATCCATTCTTTATTCATTCTTAGTTTTATCTACTCTGCCTCTTATGAATTAGAAAGGGAGAACTGTCTTACATAGCATTTATTGACAGCCCTATTTCATGGGTAACTTTGCATGGGAGTATTTGTTTATGTGTGTATGAAATGCATAAGGAGGAAAGGAGAATCTGAAGAATTTAAATAAGAATTCTTGAAAGGGTCTTTTGACTTTGTTTCACAGTGTACTAGGGCAAAATAAAACATGCCAGCCATTGAACAATTTAATATTTTTGTAGCTATATCAGGAGGAAGTTAATTTAATGCAGAGGCTTAGGAGGCCGTTATAGGATCATAGAATTTTAGATCTGGAAAGCTCTCTCAAACTCATACCTTTATACTCTGTTATACACCCTTTTAAAAAATATATTATTAAACTCACCATACTTTGTCTCTAGGAAGAAAAAAATATCTCTCCAGTAAAATAAACATGTCTGCCTAAACTACAAAGAGGGGTTTTGGGGTGTCTTTGCTTAGTGAAAACTTGACCCAGCTGACTCATTCTTCCAAGTCTCATTTCACCTCTGCATCTTCTCTTTCGTCTCACCTTAGTGTGCTTTGTTAGCATCCATAGAGTTCTGAGGGTCTCATGGGCTTTCTCTGGTTTTGTAAATATGAAAGTCAGTTCCCTGCGGATGTCTAATTATGAGGTTGGAAATTTGCCTCTGTCCAAACAATGCCAGAATTCTGGTCCAAATGGGTGGTTCTGTTCATAAGCAACAAAGTTATCATAATTTTTGTTTTGGCATCAATCAAGCTTTGCCATACTAGGCCAGATCCCAGCTGTACCTCTAGGCTCTTTGTGTGGAGAGAGTTTAATGAGGCACAGGGGCAATAGGCTTGCAAAACATAGGGTTGGTGTGATTTCCTATCACCTGAAGAGAGAACTGATGTCCATGAAGGGTTTGTCAATAACATTAAATCACTACAGTAAGAATTGCAATGCTCTGAAATAATAATAAGCTAATTTAGCCAAAGTAGAATGATTCTGACTTATAACTAGCTAAACTCTCCATGAAACAGAAATCTCCTATTTTACTTGATCATAGGTCACTATCATCATTCCTAATACTGTAAATTAGTTCAATCGCTATTATTATTCCTACTTCTATTATTATCTGAGGCATTTTGTCATAATAAAAAGTTCATCACCCTTGGAGTGAGAAGACTGGGTTATACCCTCACCTCCTTCATTTTCTAGCTCTTTTAGATTCTGGACTAGTCACATAGATGTCTTAACCTCTTCTCTCACCTCTAAATTGGGTAATATTAACAGGTAATAATGCTGTGCATAGGGCTGCTGTGAGAAACAAAAGAAATACGTTATGTGAAGGACCTTTGCAAATTTTAGTGTTTTATTATCAGTCCCGGAAATAGCATTAATATTTGCTCTGCTTTCTAAACAGGAAAATAGTCCCTCAGGACCTCATATATTTAGTTAAGAAGACTTTTTTTTTTTCATTTGCTATCTTTTGTGATATCTGCAATAATCCTGAAAAACTGTGGCATGGAGAAGGGAACTTTTTTCCTATATTTTGTTCTAAGTATTAGAAGACTTAGAAGAGAAATCAAAATATGTGTGTGTGCATATAATGTATATATATATATATGTGTGTGTGTATAGCAACTATGTATGTATGCATGTGTATAGATAGATATACATATGCATATACATATACATGACAAATTTATCTGAAGTGTGTGTGTGTGTGTGTGTGTAAACCCAAGCTAAATAAGTTACTATAATTCTATGCAAAAAAAAAAACTACACTCAGATTCAGAATTACGGATTTCAAAGTTGAGTGTACAAGAGTTATATGAGATGTCTGTTAAAAATGTAAGGTCCTAGGCCCCAACCTTGGAGATTCTGAATCAGTCATCCTTGATGGCACACAGAGTCTGCTCTTTTGCAGGCATCCTGTGTACTTCTGAGGTAAGCAGTCCCAGGACCTCTCTTAGAAACATTGACTTCAGAATGAATAGATGGTTGTGAGATTCATTTCCATGAGTTGGGAGTGAAGGGAAGTTGCTATTTCTCATCCAACTGAAAGGAAGGATTCATGACTTGGCTAGTGAGTTAGCAACTGCGTGAAGGAAAGGAGAAGACATGTTTTGGCTGGGATGAGGTAGAAAGAACAAAAGAAGCAGCAGCCATGCCTAGGTGCAGAATATTGCCAGGGAGGTGATTCTGTATAGAACAGAGAATAAGGGAGAGATTAGAGATGGCTTCATCATAAAGAAATGGCTAGAGAAAAGCAGAACAAAATGATAGGTAGGAAGTCATGAGGATCATAGTGTCCAGGTAATGCCATCTTCCATGAAACTAATTCTGAAGCAACTGTTCTTTCTTTGTCATTCAACTTGAAAAGTGCAACTTTCTCCATTTTATTTCAAGAGCACCTAAAGAAACTGGGGCAACTTTCTCCTTCACAGAAAGGCAATGGCATGACCAAAACAGAATTTTGGATCATTAGGTATTTGCACAATATTTGCTACATACAAAAAATTGTATTAGATACTGAGGATGCTAAGAGGAGTAAATTGTGGGCAGTTCCTGGTTGTCTTCCTCTCATATTCACAATGTGCTGGACCAATAGAGTATAGTCATATACAGAGGGTATACTGATATCATGACACATTTGAGGGCTACTTCTGGAATAGCACTTAGATACTGGACTTCTGGTCGTGTTTGGTGAATGGTTCCATGAAAAATTGTTGGGCACAGATTTGATCCTAAAGTTTGAACTTAGTATCTAGGTCTGCTAAAAGAATCTCAGATTAACATATCAAGGGACATATATCAGCATTTCAAAACTAGTTTTCCTTTATGGTCTTGCCTTCAATGTAAACATATTTCCTCTTAATTAAGTGTGCCAGCTGATAAAGTGGCTGCCCAGAGAATCCAGGCAGGAGTCTAAGGAATGTAAGCCATTAAAAGATGTCATCTTGCAAGCAGCTGAACATCTCCATTCATGGAGAAGCCTCCAGCCTGAGGAACTAAGTGAACATAATTAGAAATACATCTGGGTATTGGCCTCCTATCTGAAAGGTCATATGCACACCTTCCGTTGGTACTGGTTGCGTTCCATCATTATGTGCTGTCCTTACTCACTCGTCTCCTACTGGTTACCAGATGGCCATGATAATGTCAGAATCCTTAACAACTGTCTTGTGAAATTCCCTGCAGCATGGCAAGGGCTCAAAATATTGAGTGTTTTCCCTCTGGATAAGCAAATGACAAGTCTTGGAATTGCTTACAACTGCCCCGATGGTGCGGTTGTGGAGAGTGATGGCAAAATGGGTCATGGAACCTAAATTCCACTTGAGGTTGTTCAGGTGACAGGTCACCAAAGGGGGGGATGTTTGCCACATCTCAAGCATAAAATGAAGGAAGGATTCATCCATGCCAAATCTGGTTTCTGTAAATGAGCACAGGCATGTAAATAAGCAAGCATTAGGATCCCTGTAAGAGGAAGATTCATTAAATGTGCTGAAATGTTCTCCTGACTTGAGTTGGTTCTGATGGAACTCTCTCATAAGAATGCTTGGGGAGACCTCTCAGCATGATTCTCTGAAATATGCCAAGTTACCAGATGGATTTGAGGAACATTACAAGATAGGGGGTATGTGTAGGCAGGGTGGAGAAGAAGGATATATCAGTCAAGTTGGGATAGATCATGCTGCAATAACAAATGACTCCAAATCATAGTAGCTTAAAAGAACAAGGGTTTATTTTCTGCTTATGTTATGCATCTATTTTGAATCAACCAGGGGCTCTGCTCCATGTTATTTTTACTCCAAGACCCAGACTGGCAGAGTAGCTGCTATCTGAAGCATTACAGATGGCCAGAACAAAGACACAGGGAGACTGTGGTCGGTGGCACACTAGCTCTTAGCATAGCCACCACTTCTGTCATATATCATTGGCCAAAACAAGTCACAGGGCCACTGGACTCCCTAGAGGGTAGAAAGCACAGCCTTTCCTCAGGCCCATAGAGAGAACAGGAAATATTGGCTGTATAGCAATAATGACCCCCAGAGCAGGTAACAATGCTATTTGGACCCATGAACATTTCTCCCATGCCAGATGACCTTTTTGGAGGCCACAAACACTGAAAAAAAAATAATATATATATATAATCTCCAGTATATATGTATGTATGTGTGTATATATATATATATATATATATATATATAAAATATTAATATATTAAATATTAAACTGTGGGAGTCAGTGTGTAAAGAAGCTCAACATATTTCTGCTTTTTTATTTCCATGATGACTTTGATGATTAAAATGTCAAATACTCTCAAAAGAGTTTTTTGGTTCTCCTGCTCACTGGTGACACCAACATTGTTTAATATGTCCTCAGAGCCACCCTACTCCTCTTTTCCTTGCAAGAGGTTACACTCCATAGGGAGCCTGAGGTGGGGGTGGCGGGTGGAGGGATGAATTATGAGGAGGAGCCAGAAGATTCTGGCACTGTCACCCTAGATGAGGAGAACTGGTTTGAGAGCCTTGCTGAAGATGACATCTTTACAGAAAACCAGACGTGATTATTGAAGTTATGCCACAGCCACGAAAGTTTTTTGTTTTATTTTCGTTGTTGGGGGAAAAAAAAGGGAGGTAATGCAAGTGTTGTCTCATTTGTCTAGGGGAGGACGAGGAAGAAACCAATGTGATCGTTCTCAGCTACCCTCAGTACTGCCGCTACCGCTCCATGCTGAAGCGCATTCAGGATAAGCCATCTTCCATTCTAACCGACCAGTTCGCGCTAGCCCTGGGTGGCATCGCAGTGGTCAGCAGGAACCCTCAGATCCTGTACTGCCGGGACACCTTTGACCACCCCACTCTCATAGAAAATGAGAGTATATGTGATGAATTTGGTGAGTCTTTGTTTTTTTGTTTTTCTATCTGAAATTCAACATGTGTCAACAGTTGTTCTTGTGAGGGGTGGTGAGGGGGAACAGGCCTGTGTGCCATCCCACTCCTCCCATTCCCCACAGCGTCATTCCCTTCTTGGCAGCCTTCGTTTACCACTGTTTAAAGATTATTATTTAATATTTGTTGTTCAATATAGAGTGAAGTTGGTTGGTTGACCTTGAAATTGGACTTCAGGACAGGAAGCTTTCATGCTTTTTCTTAAAAGGCTTTGGCTATTCAAATACTGTCTTTTTAGATTTGGTTAATCATTCCCTTTTGTAAGGTACTGTAAAATGCACAAATTGTAGGTACTTCAGTACTATAAAGTGAATAGGTAGATGGATGGATGGATGGATATATACAGTAGATTTCATGTTCCCCGATTTTTTCTTCATACACAGTGCCCACCCAAGATGGGCATGTGCACATACATTTGTCTGCTTCTCTGCCTAGCTCAGTGTCCACGAGTCTCTGTAGGCATAGGGATTTGGGGGAAAAGACATCACATCATCAGTTTGGGAAGTCTTGAATGGTGTAGAGACTGGAGGATGCAGACAGTTGTTTTCTCACATTTTCACTCTCTCATCTGTTTGTCAAAGAGATTGGATCACATTAGAGGTTCTCTGCAGACTGAATTCCTATACTTACAGAGGCATGACCACCTCCACCCTCACCCTCTACCCCCACCCTCCACCTTCTCTGGGAATCACCCCCATAGATGGGATGATGAAGCCCTGCTGAATCCCTCGTGGGCCCCTCGGTGGAAAAGAAGTTGAGACCCCCTGATCTAGAAAGAGCATAGCATCCCTTTGATCTGGAACATTCCTTGATGCTGTTGGTTTATGTTTCCCCCCCAAAAATCCTGGTTTACAGATTATTCAATTTCAGGTTATCCTGCTTAGCCATTACGGACCTCAGCATGGTTTGGGGAGTCCTTTCAAAATGGATTCTTTGTGACTCCAGCAGCCCTGTTGCTCCTGCTTAGAGGGATTTTGTAAAGCAGATGTGGGGGCGAGGGGATGGGAATGATGACTCAAGAAGGAAGGGACAAGAGAAAAAAAAGAGAACAGAAAGATCTAACTTCATTGGAGTCTAAAGGCCATTACTTTTTTTTTTCCCCCTTATAAATTGTTTTCTCAGATGTCTTTTACAACTCTGGCTTATAAGATGACTCAATCTATGAGAGTGTAATAGTGTTTGTACAAGTTCTATTTTCTTTCTTTAAAGAAGGATTTATTGTCATATTTTTAATATTCAAAAAATCTTATTTAAGGAGATAAATGTGCATTTTTTTCAATATCCTCTTTTCATCCATCTAATCATCAGATTAGCATGTACAGACCTCCCCTTTTCAGTATTGGTGAACTTTTCTTCCATATCCCCTGCTCCAAAACCCTGTATCCTACTTGTTACTCAAGTGGTCTCTAAATTCCTGGCACCCACTGAAACTGTAAGAGTGCTTTCTCTCATTTGAGATGATTCAAAATTAGAGTTTCACAATGTAATATAATGAAAAAAATGTTTTAACCTTTTTGGCTAATTTAAGAGTTATTAGTCATTGCCTTTCAAAGCTGTTACATCTAGAATTGGTAATAGAAAGAAGTTCCAATTCAACAGCGATCACAATGGCTGTTAAGAGTTCCTAAATTAGTTTTAAATGTTCTCACAAACACAAGCATCTGACTTTTGAATGTTTTCCTGAACTTTCTTCTGGTATAGCTAATGTCAATGCTGTTTTTCTTCTTTAGCCTCTTAAAGGGGAAGTTTTCTTTTGGAATAAAGGTATCTTTAAAGAGCTTCTAGATGGTTCTTTTTAATAATTGGAGTATTAGATTTTTTTTTTCAGTTAAGCTTGTACTTCAAATAGTTTCTACTTTTGAAAGTAGTTTGTGTGAACAAGTCAACAAAAAAAGCTTGTTTTGACCCAATTTGAACACCTTAACTAACATGTCTCCCCCACCTCCTCCTTTCCGTCACAAATCTTAATTTCCAGAGAACAGCCTTTTAAATCTCCCAACTGGTTGTATTTGAAATCGGCATGGGCTAACGTGTTTGTTAAAACATGGCGTTAGGTTTCTCCAACCAACTAACAGTTGGTGGAAGAACATAAATTTAATTAGTGACTAGCATTAAACAAATGTTCCTAATATTAAACACTGCCAGATGACTGAAACACTTCTGTCAGATTACTGAGAGTGCCAAGGGGCCCACAGATGAATTTTCTACACAGTATATATTCTGTACCACACGTTTGGTGACTTCAGTAATTGGTCAGATGTAATTTAGGTAACAGTATGCCTAGGCTGTAAAAATCAAATTTTATTAGCCATATCACCAGGTGGATGAATGGTAGGGCTGATGGCAAAGAGTTTATAGCATTTAGCAGCTACACCTTTGACACATGAAATTCATAAATTGCCATAAAATGCCTCCAAAGTCCTTCTCAAAAGGACAGTGTCTGCTTTCCTATGATTGGATAATGTTTATTTTATTAACTAATATACTTTTTGCTTTCTTCTATTAAGTGGGGTTATGGAATGGGAGTGGGAGGGGCTTGACCAAAAAATAAATAAAACACGGTCCTTGGTTGTTTTGAGGATTTAAAATCTAACTGGAAAAGACAGGATTACCGTGCCCAAAAGGTTAACTAATATTATGAGAAAATCGATGATTAAGTATTTCTCGGGTGTCACAGAAAACAAGTGCAGAAGGAATTTGGCAGTGGTTGGGGGCAGCTGTATATGGCAGTCAGGGTGAGGGGGTCAGGGAAGGCCTTATGGAAAAGGTAGGATTTGACATGGTTTTAAAAGAGAGGAATCAGGTTATTAGAAAACTGCTAGCAAGGGTACATTGCTTAAAATTCATGTCCTTGACTCTCCATATTAGAAACCGGCTGCCCTTGACCTGGGTCTGATGTTGGTCTTTCTCAGATTAGTTCTGTTCTGAGCCCCTGATCTTTGGGTGGGTTGTGAGAGTGGCCTGATGCCCTCTTTACCAGGGCACATGAATATGAGCCCTGAAAGATCCCAGAGCATCTCTGGAACTGGAACAGCTTTTTTTTTCTTGGATACAGATATCCCCACATTTTCTCTGGGTGTTCTCTAGATGGCTTACCTGCATTCTCTGTATTCATCTCTGGAAAGAGATACCCTTGCCCAACTGCCTAAGACAGTACCTCCTCCCTGCTTCTTTAATGTTGTCCACTGAATAACAAGTTTAATTGAACAATAAAAGTAAAGCTTTTAAATCTGCAATGAGTCCCTGTAAATAAATTCTCCATGGAATTTTATGAAGCTGTTTAATGAAAAGTTTGATTAGAAACTATTAAAGAAAAATAGAATAGATGAAATTTCATCATTTAATCCAACATTACAGTAGTGTCATTTTGATTTTTATTTACATTGAGATATTCAGAAAAGAGTAAATATATCCTGGTTTTAATTAACTATCCTCCTTACTTGGGAAAGGTTATTTTAGGCTTGAAGGGTTTTGATAGCATACCATCTGCTTTCTTCACTGTATTTTATTCAAGTCCCTTCCTTGCTTACAGCACTGTGCAATGTCTAAACCTATGACATAAGCATAAATTGAATCATATTAATGGTAGGTGATTGAAACGCTTCAGCCTCAACATCCTGTCCACATTCTTCCATCTTGTCAGTTACGCTGTTCTACAGGCAATGTGCATGAGAGACTTGACTATTTTTAAAACTAAAGCAACGGACTGCCCATTAAGACGTTATGAAAACTCATTGTATTGCACATGCAATTAGGAAATGAGATTATAATAACAATGAGGGGAAAGTGACATGAATGGTAATTTTTTTCTTCATGAAAATCTTCACACTATGCATAATTTCTGCCCCCTCGGTCCTATTAGAATCTCCTGACATAATGCATTCCCCACCAGCCCCCTACTTTCCTTTTACCTCCTTTTTGGTGATGATTCCTCTTTTGTAAAATGCATCCTGTCATTTATATTGTATTATGGTCTATACTATAGAGACAACGCACACAGGCAAACATTTTGTCTATTTTTGCTGTTAGAACAATAAAATGTCCACCACTTTGTAATGCACAGTGTTTACATTAATATCACACAGATTAATTTCACATGTGTGAAGTGTTGACAGCTAAATCCAAACAGAGGCACATGCAGTATAGTAGAAAATGGATAAGTTGAAGATGCTGGCTCCCATCAGGGAGATGTAAGGCAACCCAATAGACATAAGTGAGATGAAGTCAGTTCTTAGAGGTGAATGGGACTAAATGGTTTAAGGTATGATTGACTTAAAGAAATAGTCTATTTTGGTCTGGGTTTTGAATTACAAAGAAACGTTAAGAAGTCAAAGTTGTGCTTCTAAGTTCTTTGACATCAGGGAGTGTTTGTGTATGCTTATGGACCAGGGAACTGGGTGGGGGTCATAAGATGGCTGTGGTCTCTTGCCTGGAAAGAAAAGAGATGAATCCTTGTTAGGTGTTGGACCCATGTGTAGATACCATGAGCTCTGATCTTCAGGGAGAAGTTGGCTATATCATTATTAAGACATGTATGTTGCTGTGGAGTCAGGGCAGAGGACAGCAGGTTAGAGAAAAGAGTTCTAAGCTCATGGGCAAATGGCCCAGGTTTAAATCAGGGCTCAAACATCTGATTCTTTCTGTGTCTGGGCAGGTGACATGAAGTCCCTACCTTGCCTCCTGTGTAAAATCAGGTAATCACAGTCAACTTGCTGAGCTCAGAATAAGTCTGTGTTCATGTAATTAAAACAAAAAAATCTTTATATAAATGAAACTTCTCTACTGTTTCTATTCCAACTTGTATTCATCAGAAATGATCTTGTTCTTTGAATAATAAAGGAGCCCAATCCCCTGAGGCTCCTGGGGTCTTACTAGAATCTTAATGGGAAAAGAAAAGTTTTGTACTTTTTATAGTATGTTTCAAAGGTTTTCTGACTCTGCATTG